CCGACCCCGCCACCCCCCGGAGGTCGCGGAGAAATAAAGAGCGAGCTCAGCGCCACCGGCTCCGCCCCCGCCTCCCCCAGCGGCTCAGTTAAGCCGAGGTTTAGTTTAACCCGCAGCCAGAGTGTGCGGCAGCCCTGGGGCAGGGCAGCCCTCCCTCACATGCCCCCACACCCCGCTGTGGGATCACATCACTTCGTCACGGCCCCAGACACCCCTTCTGCCCCATCCAGGTGCCCCCCTGCCTGCACATCGGCCATAAGGGGCACAACCTGCTCCCTGGGGGCACCTCAGGCACCTGCCCCTGGCTCATTCTTGGTTCTGCACCCAGGGCCAGAAGGGAACAGAGCGGAGCCCCCCTCTGCAGTGAGTTGGTTAGTCAGTTAGTTCCACATGCCACAGACTTTTATTGCACAAAGATATCAAATGCCACATGCACATCCTACAACCATTTGATTAGAGCAGCTATGTTAAACAGCACTTGTGTAGGCCACGGAGTCGAGAGCAAGGCGTTTTAAAAGTTAGTGACAGGCTGGCACGTAGCACAAAGACAAGGCAGTAACACAAGTGACAGACTGGCACCCTGCCAGGGAGGAACGTGCAGGAGAGACAAGTGTGTTTGTGTATCACTGAGGGTTGCTGACACACGTTGTACTTCAGGATCTTTCTCTGAGGAGTTTCCTGGCAGAGGGTTCCTCTCCCTTACCTGCCCCCCACGCTGATGAGACTCAGCCCCAGCAGCACTTGCCCCAGCCCTGTGCTGACGAGCAACCCCTGCCTGCCCCCATGCTCATCCCCAGCCCTGCAAAACCGACAGCCCTTCCCCTCTGCAGCCCCACGACCCGTCACACACACTCTGCGGTCACTCACCCCTTTCCCTGCCTGCCCACAGCCCTGTGCCCCATCACTGTTCCTTCTCTGTGTCACCTCAGCACTGCTGGCAGTCACCCTTGTTGCCATCTGCACATGGTGCAGTAAGGAGGGGAGGCGGTGGTGGACAGAGGCAACCACCCTCTCCAGAGCCTGCACCAAGCGCTCTGCCCTCAAACAGCCCCCACCTGCCCCTGCACCTCTACTGATAGTGAGAGCAGCCGCATTACGCGTCTCCCACCTGCTCTGGGGCCTCAGACCACCACCTGCCCCACCCCAGGGACACTCTCAACCCTCCTTCATCCCACAGCTGACACTCTGCTTTCTCAGGGCATGGTGTTCTCCTGTTTCCTAGGGCCGGCCAGCACAAGGGTGCCACAAACTCTTAACACCCTGTCCCCAGCTAACTGCCCCCTCATCCCTCCCCAGCACACTGCCTGTCCCAAACCTGCCCAGCCCCAAGCCAGGTGAAGAACCTTACTTCCTGCCCACCACATCCTAAAGTATCTCTGACCTGCCTGGGCCTCCCCACTGTCACTCCTGTCCTCTGACATCGCTATTCTCACCTCCTCTTCTTCTTCCACCTGAGGCACTACAATGCTCTGCACGGCCACACTCCCCTTTCTCACCCACCACCCCCAGAAGTGTTTCATGCTCACAACCCCCCCGACCCTCCTCAGCAGCCCCTCCAGACCCCTCAGGCCCCAGCCCAGCACACACAGGTGAACAGCCACCACCTCTGCTGCCAACCCTCCACCTTTCCTAAAGGCTGACCCCATCCCTCTATGAGTCAAACTGACCATACCACATCAGTTACCAAAATATTGATGTCACATTGCACTAAGCTCACTCAGAAAACAGGCATGTCATCAAAACATTTATTTTTAGACCTTCTGACCTGCTCTCACACAGAACTTGCACATCCTGCACATCTAACTAACCAGTTACCTACCAGAGGGCTGCTGGTACCAGTTCTGGGTAGGTAACGCTTGCTGATGTCATCTGTGATGCACTGACTGATGTGCTTCACTGGTTGCCCAGCCAGTAACACTGTTCCCTCACTGTCCCCCTGCAGAATCACACCTGCTGTAGTTCCCAGGGCTCTCGGGGCAGCTACAGCCCTGACATACCTTGTCACACCTCATGAGGGGGGTGGTCCACACTGACCTCACCAAGCACTGGAGACTCAGAACTCCATTTTTGAGCCCTTTCTCTGGGCACAGAGCAGGGAGCAGTGGGTTCCCACCCCCAGCACTTGCTCTCCAGCCTCTGTACTCCTCCAGCAGCCTCCTGGCAGCTCCCTTATGGCCCAGAACAAGGACTCATCCTCTGTTCTGCCTGCAAAGCACCTCAGGGAAAGGGACGGAGCCAGTGAAGGGAAAAAAATAAACACACCTTCTACACACATACTTAAGTGTCAAACGCCCTTTAGTGGTAGACAGAGGTGCTGCTGGCCGAGCAGCCCGGCCCCACGTACAGACTTGCACGGTGCTGTTGCCCTCACCGGATATGCACCATCTCCTCCAGGAAGGGGGTTTTCATGCAGCCTGTGCAGAGCTGATCCATCCAGAGCGGAGCCTCGTGCTGCAGCGGGGTGCGCCGGGGGTAGAAGGTGAAATTCACGTCATAGTTCAGTAGGCAGCTGATGGAAGCCATGTAGATATCAGAGAAACGCACCAGCCGTCGAGAGAAGTACGTGGGGTTGTGGAAGGTGCGAAAGATGCTCCCAAACTGGGGGTTGAACAGGTTCTTTGTCAGCGACCTGAAAGAGATGGTGCTCTAGATAAGAGGGCAGGGGCACAGGTTCCTCCTCCAATACCTTAGTCCTGGACCACTCCACTCCCAGAAGACATTTTGGGATCATCCTGAGTACCCTGGCACCCAGGCTGTGCTGCAGACCCATCCTTGTGCAGTGACACTGATGAATATTTGCTGCACTCTTTGTTACCACACCTTTTAGGGGCAGGGGCCCACCTGCAGTGCCAGGAGCTGCAGTAGCAGGTGGCCCATCAACCCCTCCCAGCACAGGCTGCCACCACCTCCCCTTCCCCAAGAGGCCTTCAAACCCATCCATCCTCCCAGGCTGCAGGGCAGCCACAATGCTGCCCCCACCCACCACACAAGTGCCCCCTGGGAGGGCCCCAGGCCAAGACCTGCAGCACCACTGTTCCCAAAACAAGTTACAAAACACACCCAGATCAGGCCTGGGAGCCCCCCAAGGGGCCGCCTGAGTGAGGGGGACATTGCTCACCTGATCTCCTGACGTTCCTTCATCCACTCCAGCAATACTTGCTTCGACTCCGCATCCTGATACATCTGCAAAGACAACAGCAGAAAGCACCCCGTGGCGTCAGTCCTCAGGCCACACCTCAGCTCCCCCCAGTTCCCACTGTAACAAACTCATGAGTCCATTGCACCAGGAGGAGGATGAGATATTTTTGAGAGCACAGGCAAGACGGTACGTCCCTCGATTCCCCTAAGCCCAAAAGGCAGACTCAGAGGGCAGCATACTACCTGTCCTGCCCAGACAGGAGTTGTTTACCTGCATTCTCTCTAGCAGCCCTGTCAGAGCCTGCTGCCAGGTCAGGGAGTGCATGTACTGCTCTGTGTTTATGATACGAATCTCCGTCTCCAGTTCAGGAACGATGGCTCCAGTCCTCCAGCCATGACGCAGCATGAGGTCCTAGAGGTCAGGGTGAAAAAACAACCAAGAATTCAACAAGAAGTCTGAAAGCCAAACACAACCCTGTTTCCTAGAAGAGTAGTCTGTTCCCATTATAGATTCTCAGGGGACAGGCGGCCACAGCCCATGCCAAGTCATGCCCATAACAGCCATCTCCTGGCCACCAGAATCAGCTGCATGAATGACCTAGAAATGCAGGATCTACACAACCTGCTCTCAAATTCACAGACCAGCAGATGTACTTCAGAAGCCCTTTCTCCACTGCTTGCTTCTGCTTGACAGCAGAATGAGGATGCTCATGTGTCCTACGTGTGCCCTGAAAGCCGCAGTCTGCAGAGCACGCAGCACTGCGCAGCACAGACCTGAGCACTCAGGTGAGGGCTCTGCCATACACTCCAACAAAGCAGCAGCCACAAGTCACGCCAGCATTCTCCCACCTCCCTGTAGAGCAGAGGCCTTTTCACTTACTGCAAGGTCGCTGTACAGATGATCACCGAAGTAGAGCACCTTGGACCCACGCCAGCCTGTCAGCCTCAAAAAATCAAAGAGGTTTCCCTGCAAGTAAAAGGAGCAAAGAAAGAAATGTAGTTACGGGCCAAATGCCTCCAACCCTGCTGCCTGGTACCAGGCAGCCACCCCAGCAGCGCTGTCAACACAACTGGACGTGCCACCTTACCGCATGCAGATGTGAGACATCAACCTGCTCACTCCCCCACAATCTAAACCCAGAGGTTTCTGTCCTTCCTCACCTCATAACACTTTCTTCCCATATGGCAACTCTACTGTACATCCCTCAGCTTTTCTTAGGCTACAGGAAAAGGCAGAAACTGCGCCAAACCCAACAGGCAATTCAGGGGGAGTTCTGTGCTCTAGGGCACAGCAAGTCAAGAGGATTACATAGACTAAAAAGGCAACAAAAGGAGGCACTTTAGAGGCCAAAAGTAAAAGACACCTAAATTAGAAAAGCCTGAGTGATAAAGAATCTCAGGGGTTCTGGGCTTAGAAGTTGTTGGGCTCAAGTGACAGACTTCACTGCACAGGGTGCATCAGAGGTAAGGTGAGCACCATCAGGCAAGGCTTCTGTAGTCAGGAGCACTTGAGGCTGTTCTCACATCACTGACTAGCATCCCAACCCCAGAGATTAACACCACTCACCCCTTCACAGGAATTGCCTAACCAAGCCAAGAAGCCAGCCAGCCTGGGCAGAATCACAGCTAAGTAAAACAAACCAAATCCCAAAGCACTGGCCAAGGCACAGCACAGGGCAGCTTTCAAGGCTTTCCAAACATCCGTCCACACACAGAGGAGACTTCAGGGACAACCCTTCCATCTCCACACAAGATTTCCACATGAGTCACAATGGAAATAAAACCCACTAGGAAAGGAAAAGGCCCATCAATGCCAGCAGACTAGACTGTGCCAGCACAAGCAATCAATGCAAACCTGTGAGTGGCTCAGCAGCAGTCTCTCCAGCCAGCCCCCGGTGCCAGAAAAGAGCTAGCATGCCTACCCGGCAGCACCGGCCTGGACACAAACCCGCAAACACAAGCCAGCTCCCACAACAGCCTGCAGCCCTGCATTTGGCCACTGGCAGTATGTTGTGTGCACTGCAAAGGGTGCCCAGAACCAGTGCTGGGTCTCCTGTTGCTGCGGCATCACCGGAGCTGTGCAGGCTTCCCTTAACAGCACAGAAACACAGGGCCAGGCACGCCTCTGCATTTCGGGGACACATTGCTCTTGCTCACTTGAGAGTTGCTCAGGAAGCCACTGGCAGAGCAGGGAAATGGACCGCAGCCTTGGGAGGATGATGATCCTCTCGCTGTGCCCCAGACACCTCACACAGCAGTGGGCCTGACTACTAGGAAACCTGCACTTGGACCTCCACTGAGCCACAGACCTGTTAGGTGACCTCCAGGAGGTGGCTGTCCCCCTCCCCTCCTGAGACTGCAGACTAGGGGAGGGATGGGAGTATATACCTGCCACAAACAGAAAACACTACATCTATCAGAAAGGACAGACTAAAGGGCCATCACATGAACTTCCCAGTCTCCAGTGCAGAACACTGATCCCTGAGGTCCCATTTGTATGAGATAAGCAGAGCACACCCACCACACAGCCATGCTTCAGCGGACAGGAACAAGTCAGCTCAGAGGCCTCTAGCGATGTCACCAGCACAGCAAGGTCCATGGCCACTCACACTTGCCATATTATGGCGCTCCAAGAAATCAAAAATGCTGGGGACAGGGTGGACTGCAACCAGGAAATACTGTCACATCCCAAGTACCTCAGATAGGCAACAACATCGATACAGTCAGATCAACATCATGATGAGATGAGGGAGAACTGGAGAGAAGCCCAAAAATCTTACCCATCCCTCCTTCCTCCTCGCCTTTTTCCTTCCTCAATGCACCATTCACTCAGGTGAGCAATCCGTGGCCACAAGATGTAGGCAGTCAAGAGCAGGATTTAATTCAGCAATAAACCCCATGGCTGAGGTGTACCTTTTCTCCTGAGAGAGCTGCTAACCCACTGGGAAATTTTGCTCATGGGAGAGAGACTTTGTATGAGCTCTACTTCCATGTTCCCAGCTACTAGCTCTTGGCAGAGGCTGGGACACCAGTAGAGCACTTTGACAGACTCACTGGACCAGCCAGAGACTTCCCAAGAGCACTACTCAAGGACATGACCTACTTTTGTACCACAGGTCAAGTCCCAGCTACTTGACCGTGATCTCACTAACAGTTTCTTCCTGTGGGACTGGACAGCTCACATAATCAAGAACAAACCGTTCTAAAGCCAGAGGCAACTTGTTCTCTGGGGACAGACCAGCTGCAAGGAGAACACCCCAAGGCAGCAAGTTCACTAGAGTAACAGCCCACCCTTCAGAAGGGGAGAGACTGGAGCCAGGCTTTGTACCCTATTTGATCACCTTTGTTTCTCTATTCCCTCCTCCACACGTTAACCTTTTCCAACCTTACAGAGGACAATTTGGAGTGAGGTGTGGAAGGTCTCTGCACACACATCAGATTTTAGAGAGCTCTGCCTTCTTACCCTGAACTGCCACACTCTTGGGAGTCTCTCCAGGACAAGAGTTTTAGGACCAGGACATCAGAAGAGCTAAGAGAAAACCATACTATTGGTCACACTAGGCAATGTCAGAACAGAGCTCCTAGAGTGAAGGTTTCTTTGTGCGCTGGGGCAGGGGGCATTCACTGAACCCTGCTACACATGCAGAGGATGTTTCCCTACTACCCCTTCTTACAGGAACAGGGCAGCAGCAGGGAAAAGCTTGGCCTGGCAGAGATAGCTCAGCACAGGTCCTCCTGGCAGAAAGCCAAGCACACAACAGCCTAAGTTAACTGGCCCTGCTCTGCCTTTTTTCCCCTTTGTTCCTGTCTATCTTGAATGCCCAGCCCAGCTGAGCTGGGTGGAATACATCACTCCCATTACACACCCTTCTGCAGCCTGATGTATCCAGGCCTGGGTAGAAAACTGTTTCAGAGTTGCAGACAAAAGGTTTTCCTAGAAGGCAATTCTGCCTCCTGCAACTGTAAAAAGTGTGACAGCAGCCTTTTCTACACCCGGCACAAAACATCTCTCATCATTCTCAGAGGTCAGTTTATTACACACTGACAGGCAACACAGGCCTTGGCAGGGCTTTCTGATATAGGAAAAGACCCTTTGTTCTAATGCTTACATCCCAGCAGAAGCTGAAGCTTTTCAGAGGCATGCCAATCACAAGGCCATTGCTCCAAAGCATGCCAAGAGACATGCTGAAAGCATTCAGGGGGACAGTGTCCTACCGGGCCGGCGAGAGCTCTCTGCGTGTGGACAGAGGGCACCTCTCGCTGCTGCCAGCCAGCACAGCACACAGAGCCTAGAGCTTGTCTTCTTACAAATGTCCTCTAACTATCACAGGCACTCTTTTCAAGGACTTCCATTTTTCACTTTTCAAACATCCAACATCCACAAACGACCTACAGAAGAACCCATCATTTTCCCTGACCCTGACAAAGCAAATTCCCCTGTTTCCCAGTGACTTCCAGGCTTTTCCAGTGACTTCCAAAATTACAGGTGTCTTGTAAGTCCCCACCATTTCAGACTCTTGCTTCACATCCCTTATGCACCCATTCACTTTACCTCTTTGTAGATCTTTCCTTTCTCCAGCTGGTTTATTTTGTCCCACTGCAGTGAGCCTTTATCATCAAGTTTTCTAAAAGGTCTGGAAAAAAAAAAAAAACGGGAGATGTCAACCTCTCTTGATTTTCAGTGATTGTTACCCAGCAACCACAACATTTGAATCAGAAAACTTGTCTACCGATGTAACAACTTGTAATGAAAGCTCTAGGTGAGAAGTGACCTTCTGGGCATTCGGCACTATTTTCTCAGGGGAAGAGAAAGGAAAGGAGAAGGAAATACCTTTTCAAAGTTCTTCCATCAACTGCAACCATTTCATGCCAATATCCCTAATAACTCTTGCCCTTCAGATACAGAGAAGAGAAAAAACAAATAATAAAGACTCTCTCTGAAATGCTAAGTCCAAGAAGGCTTTGCCATGAAACACTTTGTGTCCTGTTCCAGTCTGGCTATACCACAGGCCAACACAGACTGTGGAATGTCTTAATAGGATGAAGCAGTGTGTGGGGCAGATGGAAAGCAGACTCCATGCTGATCTTGGCGGCTGACCCGAGCTGGCTCCTGTTGTTCCCTAGGGCTTGCCTGATTACCTTCCACTTGGACAGAAGCAGCAAAACTTGACCCCCGTGAGCACTCATGCTTGATGGGAACATTGCTCCCTCTTGGGATAGGATTTCCAAACCACGAGCTCCATGATCAAAAGTCTTGGTATGAAGCTGCTCCTGCTACAACATGCACAATCTCATCCAGAGTTATTGTATGATCGTGAGGTGCCATAGTGCAAAGGAATCCAGCCTCCCACCATGAACTCTACAGCCTGCTCAGGCAAGGGGCTCCTCAACCACAAGTTGTCTCCAGTGCACACCTGCACTTGCCCTCAGAGAAAACACTCCACAGTTCACTAGAGCTCACCGTCAGGAGGTTCTCTTCACCTTGGATGTATGTGCCATGTCATTCCACTGGCCCACTACATGAGTGGGCGTTAGGCACATGCAGCCATAAGGTTTTATCTCCTAGAGAGCCAGATCATCATAGCTCTGGCTACATTTGTAAGACACCACCTATGTCCCATGAAGAAAACCTTTACCAGGTCAGCACAGCTTATGAAGCCATTTTGTAGGTTTAGTCCTGTTTATGCTAGTGGCCTGGGAAATGAGGAAAAAAAAAATACATAAAGAGGAAAGAACAGACCTCTCCCTCGAGAACTGTAATTCCTGGTCAGTCATAACTTGAGGCAACAAAGCAGACACAAGTTCCCAAAGCAAATAATCTGAAGAGCAAAGCGAGGACAGCAGTTTGCCTATCAGCTAGTCCCTTGGCAGCTCCCAACTGACCACAAAACCCGGCCGCCACATACAAAGGCTTCCAGAGCTGACAATTACCAAACAGCATGTATCCACTAACTAAAAAAATAACCAACCAAAAAACAAACCACACAGATATTTGCTGTGGGGAACAGGAAAATGAAATATTTTGGTCCACTCTCAAGACCTAAAGTCAAAGAATGGCCAACTCTCATACACACCCTTCCATTCCTCTTTTCCTTCTACAGATTTAAGTACATTATTACCACTAAAAAATCTAAGTTAAGTCCAAACCATGACAAAAACCAATGAGGCTTAAGACAGCCAATTCTAGAAACATGCCTTCAGCTTGGCACTACCCATTCGATCCACTTATTCCCAGACTGGCCAGTTTTCATCTTCTCAGAGAGTACCTGAGAGGACAGCAGAAGGCTGGATGCCTACTGGACCTAGATTACGCTTAGAAAACCACTACTCTTTTGGAAGGTAAAAGGAGTCATTTACTCCAGGGAAGAGGGCCCAAAACCTGAGGCCCACATGCAGCAGTGCAGTAACGTCCCAGGACACGTACTTCCGCCGATCAGTGAAGAAGTTGGGCTTGTCAGCTTGCACAATGACCATGTCGAATAAGTCTCGCCAATTCTTGCCAACCATGTGTTTCATTCCTTTGTCCCTAAGGGCAAAGGAACAGAAAAGTTAACAGATCCAGTTACACCCAACGCTACATTGTTACAACAGTCTGTCCTAAATTTATTCTCATGTCAGTAACAGAAGCATAGAGAATCGTGACTCTCCCAAGGCTGTCTCACTGCATGGAGTACTGATGTAGCACTTGGACAGTTTCAAGCTGTCCCACCCTTTCTCCTGTACCATAGGAAGTGCAGAGAAGTCTGTGATGCAGCAAAAGCTGCTAGAGGTAACCCAAAGTGGCAGCTCTGTAACGCTGTGGCCAGCCACAGCCTTGAATCTTCTTCAAAAAGCGAGAGTCAATGACATAGAGCTGCGAGGTGCAACATTCATCACAACCAGTTCCCAGAGAGCACTCTCATGGCTGTTGCCACAAAAACCTCTAGCATACAACTGTCAGATGCTCACAGGAGGGACTGCCCTGCACAGCTCTTGCAGTGTTGTGGTGACCCATCGACGTGCAATAATGGTACTCACACAAAGCTAAAGGGACTGTTTGTAATGAGGAAGAGTTTCTTCTTGTGGTTCACCAGTCGGTTTAGCACAGCATAGATTTCATCCCCATGCAGAATATACTGTTCTATATCAGAACAAAACAGACATCATCAGTCAAAAAATTTTGGCATAAATCATGATCACGTTTCTTTGTTGTCAAGGCAACAAAATCAAACCTAATCCCTATACCACTAGGAATGCAAAAGGCCTGAGTTAGATCCACCTCAGGCAGGCAGGTAGTGAAACACCATGGTGACAAAATGGCAAATGGCCTTCCTCATCCTCATCAATCCCGTCTGGAGGGAAGAGAAAGACTGAGGAACCAAAACAGCTGGCTGGCAAAAAAAGAGGGTTGATACCAAACCATCACAAAAGACATGCACAGCCACTCCAGGCCATGTTGCTGCCAGGAGGTTTCTTTCCCCCAAATGACCAGGAAGCCTTCCCAGATGGTGCCTGTGCATGTTCATGTCATACCAAGGACTGTCATCCCTCACTTACAAGCTGAAGGAAAACAGAAACACAAGCAATGAGGTAGCTGTTTCCTCCATTAAAACAGATTCTCCACCTGACCCTAAATACCACTTGTTTCTTAATGCCATTCTACCCCCCAGCTGCCTTTAAGCATGCCACAATCAAGTATTTCATTAAGTTCTGTGTCCCCCTGACTCCTGTGACTGCGTGTAGGGCCTACACAGCCATCTTACACAGAACACCACATAGTACGAAGGACATCAAAATGGATTTGGCACCAGAGATCTATTTAACTCACCCATATCTTTTTCAATCCATTTGTACATCACTCCTTTCACATGTACATCTCTAATAGCATCCTAAAGAAAAGGGCAGGGAAAAAAAAATCAGTTTTACATATGGCATTCCTGTTTCCTAGCATGCAAACCTATTGCTGCCACTGAGAATCCATACAGTAATGACACATCCCCTGTTCCTGCTGAATGAACAAAAGCTATATCAGTGCTAAGCCGAGGACCTTGTACAGCGAGGCTTGCTAACATGTCAAAAAGAGCACAGTGACTAGCTCAGCTGATGCAATACAAGGGGAAAAAACCTCAAAACCTATCCATGAAAGCACAACTTCCTTTCTGCTCCTTGAAACCAGCACATGTGAACAAGGCAATCAAGACTGTGCATCTCCGAAACCATTTTACTGTCCCAAAACTGTACTGGCCCCGACACTAGCTGTTTTTCCTTCCGCCCTATGTGTGTGGCAGCTCTGCCAAATGTGACCCAAAGGATGGGAGCATGTCCAAGGCAAACAGCAGCAGAGGTGAGCATCTGTGATTCCAAAACATGCCCCACAGGCCAAGGAGGGTGACAGATGGCCAGCGGACACAGGCAGAGCAGAGGTTCCACTAGGAGGGTGAGGGGATGTGCCAAAACAGAGCTGCCCACTTTTCAGGAGGGAGGCAAGTTAAAACAGATATGGTCAAGAGCATCCAAATATCCTCTATTTTCCAGGCCAGAGGCCAAGATGCAACATGTTTATGGACACACCCAACTGAGATTCTTCCCAAGTCTCCACCCAGTGAGATATGCCAGATACACAAAACTATTTCCAGAGCAGCAACACATTTGGCAGTGTTTGCACATACAAATGCTTGTTTTAACATACGGTTTTCATCCCTGACAATTTAGACAGGTAAACAAATGCTGCCTTTCCCCAGGACCCCTAAATCCCTGTTACACTACATGTCCTGCTTCAGGAGCTGCCCTTTCAGACTGGATTCCCACACTTGCCACTGACATTGCTACAGTGACACTTGCACACAATGTCACACAGTCATATGGTCTCACAGCACTGCTGGTGAAACCTGCTCATCACCCCAAAAACCCTTTCCTTCAAATCTGGTAGAGAACCAGAATGTACAGCTTAGATGGGGGATGATTAAGGAGGAGGTGTTATCTCTTCAAAACAGAATTTTAGGAGTCTCTTTTTTCACCATGTGGATTTGAATGGTAAAAAGGCAGACATCACATCTCATTCACCAAGAGACTGCCTTATTGAAAAGAAACTGAACAAAAAGCAAGAGCCCTAACAAGAAAACAACTTTCTCTTTACCAGCAGTGGCACTAAAAGTAAGCAACACTTTGGATTTGTGTCAGAACTCCCTTTGCAGAGCAGAGATTCCAGTGTGCTCCTTCCCTAAACTCCTACCCCTCAAAAAGCAAAAGCAGAAAAAAAAAACAAAAACAAAAGAAAGGGGAAGAACTATAAAGTTCCTTCAGGTAAAATCTTAGTAGCCTGGGGAGATGTCAAACAGGGCTCAAAGACTCCTCCAAAGGAAAGCAGAGTAAATTGTACATTCTTACTCTCAAACACAAAGCAACCAAACTGGTGTGACAGGACTACTTGGTTTACATTCAGCTTCAACCTTTACCATTGCTTCAGGGTCTGCCCTTTTGACTCAGTGCAGTGTTTCTAGCACTCATCCTGATCCCAAATACACAGCGATGCAATCAGGACTACCACTAAGAATTACAGAAGAGTGTCATGTTTAGACATGTCTTAACCCAGTGTGAGCCTAAGCTGTAATAACAGCTGGGGCTATGCAGGTCCTGTCAGATACCTGTCTGTGTAGGCACAGAAGGATCTCTGTGCTCATGTCTGCAAACCATTTCTTTGCACTTGCACTCAGGTACCAGAGAGGGATAAGTTTTGCAAAAACGTTTGTTTATTCTCATTGCACAGAAAAAAACAAGAACCCTTCTGGTGAGAGCACCAGGCAGTCCCCAACTTTTCAGTATAAATTTCAGGCATTGGCAGAGATTTACAGCAGGAGAGTTCTTCTCTGCCTACCTCAGTCACTCCTCAGGAATGATCACACGCCTCAGCAAAGGATGTGAAGACAAATGCCAGGATTTGCACTCAGGAGTTTGGGCCTTGAGCTCACTATTTGCCCTGAAGTGAGCACGTATTAAGGTGTGGCAACCATCCACTTGCTCTCAAGATTTCAATTAGGAACATGTCCATTTTGACCTCAAAGAAGGTTCAGAAGACACTTTTCATAAAACACCTTAGGAATCAGCTAATCTCCCCATTTTCCTCACCTCAAGAGCAAAACCAACTACAACTAACACCCTATAAACATGTTAAGATCTTGTGGGAAACTGGCTGGTATGCTCTTATCAAGCACTAACAGAAAGTCAGAACATAAACTGTAATCTGTGGCTGCAGCAAAGCTGACAGGGTGGATCCTTATCACAAAAGAAGCAGCACAGATGTGGAGCAACATTTCGCTCACAAGACTGAGCAGTGGATGAGCATAAGATTCTCACAAGCTACAAATCAAAAACCCCTCTCCATGGAAGAGGTCATATGCAATAAGGCTTGGCTACCGAGGAAGATCCATAGTCTGACAACATAAATCATCTGGACTACAGCATTAACTAAGAAGTCAAACAGTATCCCTTAACAATGCTGATAATCCCGTGAAGCTGGAGGGCACAGTTAGTACCTTGAAGTAACTGGCTCTTGAAAGCTATAGTCACTCATTGGAAAACATCCCAAAAGGATCAGACTACTCTGTAGCTGCAAAGGGAAGGGGTGGATTCTTAAGAGCAGGCAAGGGCAGGGGCAGGTGTTTCACAACAATTGCTGTATAAAGCAAACTGCTTGGTACATGGGCAGACCAAGTCTCTTTGAAAAATGAGATATTGACAGGAAAACATATAGCTTAAAAGTCTGCAGAACCAGAAAACATTCACACAAGCTTTGTGAAACATTTCCCACAGAAGGACCTTCAACTTAACCAGCCTAGGCATTCCTGCAAGAGATAGTGTACAGCAACACCAGTTATGTAGTACAGACAGAAATCTAACATGTTCTGAAAACACAGTTTGAAAATTCTCTGGTAATGCTCATCTAAAGGGGCAACAATGCTGTCATATTAGGCTACTAACTAACAGCCCCTTAGGTCTGGGTACTGCAGAGCTCATCAGTGCTAACAAGCCAAAGAGCTCACAGTTCTGATGTGGTATGAGCTATGGGGCAGTTGACATTTTACTTACAGATATATCCTTGTAAAGATGCACCTGGTCAAACTCAATGTTGTGAGTTATGAAGTAATCAATGACTGAAGAGAGCAGCGTCATTTCAGGAAGAGAAAAAATGTCCATAAACTGCTTAAGTGATGGACCCTGGAAATCAAAAAATGAAAGAAACATATTAAACAAAAAATACTTTTTTAAAAAAAAAAAAAAAAAAGAGAAACCCAATAAACAGATATCACCCAGTACCATCTGGAAGCCTTTCCAGGCTAACACAAAAGAAAAACACTAATGTGGAAAGTCCCAGCCACTCAGCAAGAAGCCCTCTCAAGCAAAAAACTAACCTAGTGCATTAACACTTAACAAGAGAAAGGCTTCTCCTTCACAGAAATCTTTAAACAAACCCAGCATCATTAACACCATGCGGTGAAGGTGGAGGAAGTGGGGAGTTGGTTCTAGACACTTATTTCAACCCCATGCCCTCTGCTTCCCACCTGGCCTGTTGGCATTAATAGAGGCACCAACAGAACAGAAGCAGCTGTGGCCTTGCTGGAGGTGTCCCATTGTTCATTTAAACCAGGCTGTGACACTGGACACATGGGCACCAAAGCTGCTCTAACCACGTTCCAGGGAGGTTTCCCACAGCAGTGTAAGAATCACACCAACACACCAAAGCAGTTTGTCAATGCCTGCCTGCCCTGGAGTCGCTAGAGAGAACCTGGAGTGGGCACAAAGAAGAGGAAGAAGAACTTCAGCCCACTCAGCAGTAAAGTGGAAATGGAACACTAAATCGTGACCAAGGAATAACTTACCTTGCATTAGGCAAGGTTGCAGCTCTCCCATACATTTGCTATTTTTGTTGCCTATCAATCACAAACCTATCAGCAGATTGACAGTGAACCTTGGCTCCAGAGAGGCTTTCCAGTAAAATAAAGCTTGTTTATTCAGTATGTACCACATGTGCAGAGGACTATGGTGAGTCTCACTGGTAAGCTGAAGCTGGAATCAATTTTTTCATCTTTCATCGCTGAAGTGCCAGATCCCAGATCAGCCAAGGGGACACTTACTAAGGCCTTGTACATGAAAAGCAATTTGGGAAGCGCACAGACCTCTCAATCAACCTGGTCACCAGAGGTGCCCTGGCAATCAGTCACATCATGCTTGTACATGTGAGCTTTGAGCAATCCATGACTGACAGCTGCAAAGTTGCAACTTTAGGATAGCACTGGTCCACATCAGAAGGCATTTATTATAGCTGTGTGAAGGACAGACATGAAAGCAGCATCTGAAAGATCACAGAAGGTACACAAGGTGGAAGCTGACAGAGGGCACACACTGCCTAATGACAAAGATGTGCCACTGTCATGTTGTTACATCCTGACATCTCCCATTTAGTCTGGTCATGTAAGGGTAGAACAAGAGACTGTTTGCAGCACTATCTAAAGGCAATACTGGGACAAAACAAGTTGGGGTCAAGAAAGAAGATGCAAAAGGGCAAAGGAATAACAAACAGCATTTTGTCTGAGGTCTGTTACCACAAAATACTGCAATCAAAAGCTATGCTGGTGTGCTGAGGGTTATACAATTTCTATCCAGCCAGCCAGCCCACACAGGACAACTTGACCTACAGCAGAAGAAAACACAAAGAACACCCTCTGGTTTGGGCCACATATTGCACACAGTGCTGCTGCTTTGCAATACTCGCCGAAGCTTTTCAACAGACTTTTGTCCATTTTGATATGTAGTTGCTAAGGGAACATTTCTCCCACTAGCAAAACCAACATTTCCTGAAAACAGTCCCGACCCTTTTTTCCTATTCAGTGATTCTGGGAAAGAAGCAAGAGGGACACAGACAGGCAATTCCTACTGAAATACCTGGTATGGGATTTAGCAGAGCACAGCAGAGCAATGACCGGTCCCACTAAGACCTTAAACATAGAGACAGTTAAACGTTCAGTGCTAACAGCAAAGACTTACCTTGTAGGAAGTCAACTCTGATTTAATTTTTGTGCTGTATGCCATCATCCTACAAGTCCAGCCTCCCCCCCTCCCTTTAGTGGCCTCAACTTCCTTAGGGAAGACAGATTGACACAAGTCAGGGTGAAAACTGAACAGTAGTTTTAGAAGAATACTACATATGCTTTTTCCACAACACCCATAAGTTCCCCACCTTCATTAAAGGCCAGCACTAGTCCTGCCAGAGAAAACCACACTAGCTGCATTGTCTAAGCCTGGGCAAGATCTGTGCCCACCTACTGCAGGTGTTGGGATGTTGGTAGCTGTCCACAAACTCCTGCCAACAGAGGATCAAGAAAACCCTTAAGGAAGAATATTTACACACTTCAGCTACATCAGTACCACTTATCTTATGCCTTGTTGCCTGGAATCACTGACCTGACAGACCCTCCTGTCACCCATACAGGTAGCAACATCAGCATGGCAGACTAAAGAGGACAAGGTCAAAGATCCCTGCTACAGCCTCACTCCACACCAATTGCACTGCTCCTGCTCACATCAGCAGTCAACCCAGATGCTTTCCCATTAAGGTGCTACTGGCACAGGTTGAGCAGACATTGTTGGATGCAAACAGCATTAGTTGTATATACTTTTGTTCTCTGTGGGATCCACCTATTAGTTTAGGAGCTCACTACATTAGGAGAGGAGATTCACCTCTTTACAAAGAATAAGCTGCTATTCTTACTTCTGTGGCCAAATGTTATACTGCATTTTTCAGTACTAAACTACAGGAGAGTAGAGAACACCTGTTATGTACAAAGCAGCACAGAAAGGCACCTTAGCATAAGCACCTGGCCCTACAAAAGGCCAAAACTCGAAGCAGATTTCATGTTTACAATTATTTCAAAACAAAGGTGAAATCACCTCAAGTTTGACAACAATGAGGAAAGTTCCACTGAGGGAGGCTAATTGAGTGCAGTTTACAGACAAATATCAAACTCAAACCAGAAACATCCTATTTCAAAGCTGGAAGCTACACTGAGCTATAAACAGAGTATATACTTATCCAGAAAGCAACCACTCACATTAATTGTTCCTGAGGGAGAGAGAGAGAGAGAGAGAGAGAGAAATCAAAAAGTGACCTTGCTGGAGACTTCACACAGCAGACTCAAAGGGGTATTAACCAGAGGAAGCCTGCCCTTCTCTTTCCAGCTTCCCCTAAGGCAACTGGACTAACAAAGGGCAAGAAACAAAGCAGTTCTGGGGGGAAAGGGATGTGAATGGCCCTGCTTCCCCACTGCACCACACTAAACATTTAATGAAGAAAAATTCCTCATAAATTCCTCTAGTTCAGACAACCAAAGGACTTGAACAGCTCCTGTGGACAGAATTTCAGTCGTTTACTGTGACAGGAAGCTTTTCTGCCTAAAAAGACCCCTAACACTCATGGATGCCAACCCTATGAATAATGCACTGAGTAGGTCTCAAGAGGTGTGGAGGGGGAGGAATCTCTTTCATGAAGAAAAAAAACCCTACCCAAAACCAAAGAGAGAAAGGCATTGCAAACACCCTGTTGCTACACACACATACTCCTCCTGCACAACTCCGTGCAAACGCCAACACTGCAGAATGCCCTGGTAGCCTGCGAGCTAGATCTGGCCAAGGAACAAGCAAGGAACAATTCCCTATCAGTCGCCAGAGCCATTCAGCTCTAGGCCAATAGCCCTGGTGTTTAGGAAAGCTTTGCAGCTGGCTTTCACATGCTAAACTGTTAAATAACCTCTGGGGCAAATTCCCACTAGAAAAAAAACCACAGAAGTTCACTAGGGACTGAGCCTTTTGGAGTCCAAGAGAGGCTGGAGTAATTTACATGCTCATACAATTCACTCTGTTTTCCTAGCTGGTAAAAGAGCTGCTGCATGGTAACAGTAGAGGGCTTACAATACCTTGCCATAGAAGTCACTCATCTGGTACAGGGGGATGTGCTGCGTACCACCATAGAGTTCGATTACCTCTTCATCAGGCACTGGTTTGAGCCCTCTAGACACAAAACAACAGAAATAGTTTGTCAACAATCCCCAGTCTGCACAGAGCTACAAACTGCAGAGAAAGAGAACAGGCTCCTTTCTAAAACCCACACATTTCTCTTATACAAAAGAGATAGCCAGAGTACCTGACAGCTCCATGATTTCTTACGATTCACATAAAATCCTACTCGAGACATTTTTCAGATACCTTGTCCGATCTTTCAAGTTAATTGAGGGGCTTTATCCACATTCCAGCAGGGAGTTCAGACAGAGGCCTCCCTCTGTAAACTGTGGATCTGCTGACAGGACTGCCCCACCAGATCAGCCCCATGACCCGACTTTGGCAGCACTGGGTAACTGGAACAGTTTTGGAAAGGTTCCTTCCACGAGGCATAGCACCGTTAAATGCAAAGGTGTACAAAACGGGCTTTCTGAAAATGATGTTTCCTTCCTATTCAGTTTTCTTAAGCAAAACAAGTTCCTCACTGACCATTCAACAGAGATCACAGTTTTTCCCCAAAACACTGTAATCACAAGTATGGCTCTGAGTTGTACCATTCATGAACATCAGGTTATCTGACTGCTGCAGGTTTTACCTCTTGCACAAGTTTTGATAGCTGTTTACTCAAGCAGTCAGCACCTTTCTCTTTCTCCTTTCCTGTTCAATCATTATACAGCCTCTGAGAAGTTAGAAGTCGCCTCAGTTTTGTTCAAAAGTAAAGGTTTAGGAAAAGGACTCTCTAAGGATAGTTACAAAAGACAGTAAGGAAAAAAAAGTTTCAATGTGTTTTCGCTAAAAATCTCTTTATGAAGCTGAAGTGAAATATGGGGCAGTCCAACCCCCTCCCCCCACTCCCCAAGCTACCACTCAAAGAAGCCAATTCTCTCTGATTATGAAACCCCCTTCTTAATATTCTTAGAGTGTTTACTGTAACTGAAGCTTAACAGCAAAAGGGCAGAGTTCAAGAAAAAAAAACCACATTGGCTTCCATGCTCAGGAAATACAACACAGACTTAACAGGAGCTTTGTTACTGCTATCTGTGAATTACTACTTCTTACACACCAACCCCACTACACTCTGGGGCAAGGCTTTCTCCCAGGCTCCAGTCTCACTACATTTTGGAGAAAAGTTTGCTCTGCACTGTTTCAGTCACATATTCCAAAGCATACCCAGTTCTCCTTGGAGAACAACAAAAGAGAAAGAAAAATAGGCCAACCTAGGCCTTAAACTGAGCCCAGATTCTGATGCATCATTACTTTATCGACATGTCTAAACAGTTTTAAAATTTTATTTGCACATCCAGACCACTCTCCTCTTAGCTTTGTGACAAGGCATAGCAGACCACTGCTGGGATACACTCCTGCCTGGAGAAGACAGGCCCGTATGTGGACCACATACAGAGGAATTCTCTCCTAGTTGCACTGTTTGCTTACAGACATTAACCCGGGCATGCTGTAGCTGCAGCTCAGACATCATGCAGAGTACGTGACCAGATGTGTTATTAACCATTACAAAAAGCTCCAGGTCTTCCCACCCACACTTGGCTTGAAATGCTTGAGAAAAAGAACTCCCTGCAAATATATGCCAGGTAAGCATTTGAAGCAAGTGCAAACAGGATAAGCCAGACAAGACTGCTCTGCTCAACAAAACCCCCCATATGCCATGAATGTACACTCAGATTTAGTAATCCACCTTTGCATATATGGGCATTTAGAAAATTTTTTCAGAACTCACAGACCTATATGCCGTCCCCAGCTGGACATAATGGAAAGCATCGATCTTCATGAGAAGACTCTGTGATAAGGGATAGATATTTACTGTTAGAATTGGGTAGGTTTACACTGAAACCTTATTTAAAGTTCCACACAAATGACATTTAGAAAATAAAATTCATTATAAACATCCAACATTTTCACACACACTTATTCATAGTGTGACTTTTTACTGGCCTCTCTGGCAAAAGACCCTCTTTCTATGAGCCGAAACACCACTGTCTGTTACACTCCTAAGTTTGTAGATAAGAATGCAACTGAAAGACAGGGAGAACAATGTTTCTGTGACTTAGACTGTCTCTTCTTATCTCCCTTCCAAAAGCATACACATTCCAAAGGAGCTTTGTGTGCACAAGAGATCTATTTCTCATCACTTTTATCTTAAGCAGAACGAAGTGGACAAGTTTTGGTTTAGAGCACAGCTGCACCCAGTCATTTTCTTCACACAAGAGCTCTTCCCTCCCCAATAAACATTTAAGCAAGGATGTTCATGAACACGTCAGGCTGGTAACGTCAGAGCTTTCTTTGCATTTTTTTGTATCAAACTCATATTCATGAGTCATCCTTTCTCCTCCATCCATCATCCTGAAGCCGTAATACAAGTTCTCTGGGCACAGAAAGAAGTGTCACACTAAACCCGCATCACTCTGCAACCCGAATAAGGACACAGCATCAAACTATTTGCGCTGTTTCTACCACAGTGCAAGGTAATTGATTCCACAGAGCATTCACAACCTTCAGGCACCTTCTTTTATCAAGATGCCATATCAGTGCAGCTTGTTACACCATGGGCAGCCCTCCCATTAGTTTGTGAGGAGTGCAGGCAAATATGCTGAAAGAATTACTTAGACAGGCACTACCCAGTTTCTCGTGTATTTTGCAAACTCCGATCCTGAGAAAAAGAGTTGTTACCTTCTACTCACTCAAAGGGCACTTTGCTTGGCTAGACTAGTTGACTCTGTTTCTCTGATACATCAGCCAGAGATTTGAACATAGAAAGAAACTTCAGTTTCTCACAGATCTACTTCTCACTTTGTGAATTCAGAGGCATGAGCACTCTGCTGCCATGCTGTCACCGCAGTTAAGACAAAAGACATGGGAAAACTCCATATAGTTTTTTAATTCATTCTCTGTTTTTCCCACTGCTAGAGAATAGCATGCACACTCCAGCCTGTACTCCCTGCTTCCCTGAATTTGCTCAAAGCTCAACATAAGAGCTACTACAGCGAAGCAACTTTCTCTGCTGTGTTCCCACCTGACTGCCTGGCTTCAGCTGCCAGCATGACATCACTGGGCACCAGGCTTTCAGGGAATCGGTCCAAAGCACTGAAAAGGGTTAAAGTTAATGCTTGCTCTTTGCTTGCCTGTGCTCCTAAGCATGCATCACAAGTAGCTTGGATCTTTTTCCAGACAGTCCTATTATTCGGGGTAGGGGGTGGGGAAGGCTTCCTAAAACATTCTCTTGACAAGTCATTTCTATTATTAGAGTAAGACATAATGCCTCTGCTCCTAGCAAGTACTTGTAGATGCAGGATTGAGGTTTGTTGTTTAAATTTCCTGCAAGACTGAAATGATCACACAAACAAGCTGAGTTTTCTATTAATTAGCTAGCGGAATTAACTGACTTTTAAATTGGCAAGGCTGTTTACCAGAGGTCTTTGCTAGAAGGTCCTATTCTGCTCACGGGTATGCAAACACAAAAGACCTCTTTCCCTTGGAAGGTTTATAAGCAAGAAGAAACCACTCAATGACAAGCACGGCCACCTGGACTGATAGCAATGGTATTGCAAGCAATGACAGAAAGTATTTCCACTAAAAACATAACACAATGGAAGACAGAGCCCAGGAAACAATTTTGTACAGCTTACCTTTTGTACATCATAGTGAAGTCCACGTATGGCAAACCCTGGAATGTAGTCATACTTCCCAAGCCCTTCTGGATACTGGGAAGAAAAACAGCAACATAAACATTGTGTTAAATTATTTCACCTGTACAGCTGGCTTAGTCCTACTAGTCATCTCACCCCAGCCATAAAATGACCAAGGAACAGGTGCATTTAATTTTGCCCCTTCAACAAAGAAAGTGGATGAATGGAGAAAGATAAAGGATCAGGATCCCCAAAAGTAGTTTCTCTCATGTAATGGTCACTAGTGAAAACGTAACAGATTCATTCAGGCAGTGAGGACACTTCTAGAAGGCTCCATTCAATGCATGTATTTGGCAAGGCCATGGCACTGCGGAACCCCTCTAAAAAGAAAGACATGACAAGAAGAAAATGCAGAGACCGGTCACCTATTGCAAACAGGGTGTTCATCACTGGACATGCTATACAGCCTGATCCACATTGACTTGCACATGTCAAGTTCTGTATGGCTTCAGTGCTGGCCCACGGTTCACGTTTATCCATCACATGTACCTCGAACCAGCAGCATAGGCATTATTTCCATAGTTCGGTAAAACAGACCAGACCTTTCTAGACTAAGGTACCTGCTCCATATTTATAAAACCTCAGGAATGTAGAGCATGGTAAATTGTCTCAAAAGAGATTAATTCCACGTGCAGTCAAAATTTTCTGCAGTCAAAGACTGTGAAACATGAAATTTATCTCAATAAAAGTAGTAATTGATACACAATGCGCATTTTGCAGGCATGTCTGCGGCATCGCAAAGACAGCAGTAAGCTTAATTGAGTGGAAATTCTTAGCAGATCATTACCTTGAATTGTTCTATTAGGATGTCTCTTGCAGTGTTGAAAATCATAGAGTGTAGTAAATTAGAATACTGTGCTAATGTGTAATCGTAGTCAAAGCCATATATCTCAACATCTCCCAGGCTGATCTCGTTGTTAGCGTAGATAGCGGCCGGGTTGAGAAGATTGCAGACTCCTGGTGGAAGGAGATCTAAGAGGAAGGGAAAGGACAGAAGTTAAAGAAACTGAGAGGATCACTGAAATTTCAACTTTTCATTCTGGACCTGACAGCAGCTGGAAGTACCACACAGCATCAGCAAAGGAGCACTGTGCTGCTGTTGAAGGCTGCTTGTTGTTAACTCACTCAAATAATCCTCCCCGTGAAAAAAAACACACCGTGAAACCTCTGGCTGTGTCTGGTGATGATGCCAACCGTTTTCACAGTAAGACTGACCTTTTGTGTCAGGAAGCTGCAAAACAATGTCCTTGGGTCTCTGGCCTACATGAAGCAAAGCTGACTCGAGATTTTGAAGTGTCAAATTTCTAGCTCACAGCAGCTGCAGTTTCAGCAGGCTCAAAGTGAAAGGTAGCTGCAATATATCACCAGAAAAACATGCTCCCCGCACTTAAATCTTGAGCAACACAAACAGGCTAACTCTCCTCTTTGAGAAATCTAAGTTACTTCAAATTAGAAATTTTGAGGTTTGCCTGTTGGCATTTTTAGTTTCTCACAGAAGCAGCCAGACTTCACAGAGCAATCCTGCAGGTACCGTTAGGGCTTTTCTTTTATTATTATTATTGGGCAGGATAAAACTAGGTTTTGTACAAACACCAACAAAATGTAAAAAAACCCCAACACATTAAGCTATGCTTCTGGAACATGTAATACTGATAGCAACAAGTTATCTGCTTTCCCCTGATAAACAGCTGTGGAAACAGCTCAGTCTTTGCATGTGGTTTGTCACTTCAAAACAGGGTTACTGTGCAAGACGCTTGTGAATAACTCTTTGCTCTCCAGACCACTGGGGAAACGGGGGTTAAGTGACCTAGCAGCTGAACTACCTGTACATCCTTTTTCAGAGCTAGTCTAGAGTGGAGACCTTTAGCTGCACTACAATGGGAGAGACAGGAACAGACCCTCCCCAGGCTTCCCGCTCCACAAGAACTGTCCATTGCAAGATGAGAAAAAGCAATAAAAATAGTTCCCTGTAGTAGGTTGCCTAGTCACATTCACACTGGGGGACAGAGAGGGGAAGGGCACATTTCCTCCTTCCTCAAAGACGGGCAATTTTCTCTTTGAATGATAGGAAAAGTGCAGACATTTTCCAGATCCTACACAGCATCAGTGAATAGGATTTTTGTTTTCCCTTCCTACCTTAACTTTTGGCTTTTAGCAAGAACCCCTGTGCCAGTTCTTTAGTGCTTCCTTGCTATAAAAGCAAGTTTCATCTGAATCTAGAACAAAAAAAATATTATTAGAAAGAGATACCAGCCATTCCCAATAAATACTTTGTCTGGAATGATTACAGAATTTAGGTAAAAGTCCAAAGTACATTTGTGAGCACTAATCCAAAGAGGTGACCAAAGAAACAGGATTCAGATACATCATAATATTTATTTTTCAGGGGAGAGATGCATTACAAAACATACCCATCCCTCTCTCCTAACTCACTTTCCTTTGGCCTTCAAACGCAATTCACCAGATCAACTAGGGAGGAATTACTAGAAAAGAAAGCAGTATTTTAAGGCAGGAGGGCTGACTTACTGGCTACACAGCAGGAACAAGAGCTCTCTTTCAGTGACTCTGCTGGTGGCAAAGTTCCTGGAAGAGGCTGAAGAGAGTGGATGCAATCAGAGTACTTTCCACTGGCATTTTAAAAGACGGGAAATGTAAATAGGATTCCAATGATCACAACTTTCATCTCATCATAAATGCTCTTTGCACCATAAACAGAGCTTCACTTCCTGTCCTCACCTCCAGATAACTTGTGGGAAGATCTTTTTCTAGGCAAACACTGGGATTTGCAGGGTGTTATTTTTCTTTCTCACAAAGAAAATGACAAAGCCTTAATCACATCACAGTGCCAATATGCCATGCTTTCCTCTTCTAATGAAAGCACTTTTTTTTTTTTCTTAAAATGACAAATGCACCCCACTTGCTGCTACCGTATCCCTACAGAGAGGTCAACCTCTCCAACACTCACCATTTGGTAACAGCTTTATGACAACACATTTTGATAGTCTGAGAGCAGCACAAAATGCCATTGCCTGAACTCCATCTCTCCTTTCACAGAAGATACCCATCCAGGTTCAACAACATATGCCAGCCACAACTGCAAAAATACAGTCAAGGAAAGCTAAGGGAGTGGTATGTTTTTGTAACATGAAAAGAGTAGTCTGAGATTTGCCAAGTGCATGAAGCCAGTCTTATCTGCGAACAGAAGCATAAGCAGTAACTGTGCCACAGTATGATTTATGAAGTATATTTAGACCCACTGGATGAAGTCATACTCCTCCCTGCCAGCCTCAAACATGCCTCTCTGCTGTTCTCTGACAGCCTCCCGCCCAAACTGTTTTGCCCCACTCTGACATTTTGTCACTAACTTACCCAGCATGTTCTTTCTTACCTCATAAGGGCTGAAAAAAAGATGCATACACTACCCAAGCCCTTTATCACCATTGCCTCACACACACCGTGTTCCCTACGCACCCTTTCTGGAGCACCACACATCTCCTCGCTTGTGTTTCCTATCACACATCATCATCACCAACTTGCAGCAGCTTGCTGACAGCTTGGTCCTTCCACACTGTCATCCTCTATTTTAAATTTACAGTCCTTTCAAAGTCACTGATACCCAAGAAAGAAGGAAAAAGTTCTGGGTTTCAGTCCAGAGACTAATGCTGCATGTTCTGTTCAGTGTAAATGTCCATATGCAGCATCCTCCTCAACAGAATGGTAGGTGTCCATCTCCTCTTGAAGCTCATGCAGTCTCTCTGCAGGGTCAAACTACTGCAGGGAAGGGACAGAAGCTGGGAGCACATTCAAGATCGGTTTACATACTAGAGCCCAAACATGCCTGGCTTACTGAGCCAGGTTTCAAGAAGTTTGTGGGGTTTGTTTTTTTTTTAATTGTTGTTGGGTTTGGTTTTTTTTAAATAATCACCTGGGTGGTTACAAATTCTGAGTACCTAATCAAGTCCCAGGCTGCAGCCTTGGGCACTGCTGCTTTGCTGACATTCAGCATGTAATCTGCCAGGGATCTTTGCCTCAATCTGTGTGGCAATTGTGGAGTCAAAACAAACAGATGACACCCTCCAGAAGCCCATGGAGATGCCATTTTTCAAGAATTATAGCTTTTGCTTTTCCTCTGCCAAGACACCAAAACAGATTGCTGGACAGATACGATAAATTACAGCAAGAAAAAAACAAATTAAAAATCAGTTTTGGTTATTAAAAAAGAACAATAATCCCAACTACTCTTTCCATCTGTGTCCTAACTGGAAAGGGAGACAATATCACAGTTAGTCACTGTCTACTCAGCACTTCACCCAGGAAGTATGATCTAAGGGAGAACTGGCATGTGTACATCTGAGGACAGTGGGGAAAAAGCAGCTCCTGCAATAGATACAAACCCCTGGAATCTGCATACTTGCACAATTTGCTCCAGTTTGCAACTCTGACGGTTTTAAGGGAAGTGTCTGCATATCCATGGCACATGATGAAACTCAGCAACAAAGGCAGACCACAAGAAAGCATGTTGGATCTCATGCATTTTTTTATACCTGGGTGTAAATGCCAGGTAAACACAGATCTCCTTCATTTTACCACTGTGAGGCCCTGAACAGCTGCTTAAATCAGAGTATCTTCCGACAACACAAGTGCCTCTTCCCAGGCAATAGCCCACATTGTTAAAAAGCAATAACACTCAATCCCCAACATGACAGCAGAGATGGAAACAAAAGCAGGTAATTAACTGTAAGCAACGGCTAGAGACGCCAAGACACCATATGGCCCCTTCTGACGTGAAAAACGCTGAGGCCGGGAGGTGCCAAGCACGTCCAGCGCTTTTCTGAGCTCGCGGGGGTACCAACCGCATCATGTGGGAAATGCTCCTTTTCTCCCAGCCTCAGATCCAGCACCTTAGTAAAGAATAACACATAAAAAAGGCAACTCACCCCCATCTCTCACACCCTTTGTACTCCCAGAGGTCCAACACAGCAGACATCTGTGCTAATTTCTTTGTAAGACTAACGAGGAACAGAACGATACTGAAAAACAGATGGCCACCGCACTCCACATTCTTCATGAATCAGAAAGTTCCCTTTGCTCCCACTGACATGCTTTCTAAAGACAAACTGCCAGTTTTCCTCCCTTCCAAGCACCTTTTTATCCTTTTGAAGTGTTGTTTTGTACCATTTCCTGTAAAGCACTGCGACCAGCCAAAGTAGATGCCTCTACCAAGAGGGTAGGGAGAGGAAAATATTACTTAAAGAGCATTAAATGACAGAGAAACCATGTTAAAAGAGAAAATTACGCTGGACCATACTCTTGAATTTATGCCATTATGTCTAAATATTTTGGGATTTCTCGCCGATGAAATCTACATGAACCAAAACCAATATTAAAAAAAATCCATTTCATTCCAAACCAACATTTTTATATACACAAAGGCACTAGACAAATGCTGGTATGAGTTCTTGTGGCAAGAAAAATCGTTTACATTTAGGAAATAGGAAAGCAGAACTGGGATGTTAACATAACTGGTCGCACTTCCAGTTCTGGCTGCTAATTGTCGCTCCCAGCCCCAGCTCAATCTGTAGATGCCTCAACTCATGAAATGTGCACACTCCCCAAGTGATTTGCAGGGCATTTGTTATCATAGCTCTAGACTCGTTTCCTGGTTTGGCAAAGTGTAAGGCCCTTCAATCTTTGTGCCTCCTTGGGATTAGCGACATGAGCAGAATCAAAATGTGCTGGATTGCAGAAGTCACCTCTGCACCACCACACCAAATTCACCAGCGCAATGATCACACAGGGCTGTTGTCTCCTCTCCTGTTCCCAAATGCGATGGACACATGTTGGCGACTGTGACTTGCATGATTTAGATGCAAAGGTATCTCTTGATCCACACAAACCAAAAAGAGCAAGGACTAGCTCTGAGTGACACCCTCAGTGTTATCGATGCCTGACCACCTTCTTGCTGCCTGCAAACTTGTGTCTCTTGTCACTAGTTCTTGCATTCCACCATGCTAAAGCTGGTCATGCAGAGGCAAGAAGTTAACAGTTATTTCAAAGGTTCCTTAGGAAAGCTCATTTATTGTAGCCACGTTTACAAGTTTGAAAGATCTAGGAAAAAAAAATACATGCTTATTACAACCAAATCCTCACTCCCTTGCCAGTTCCATTAAACTTCTGGATTGGAGGTTTCCTGGAGTGCAAGACTTCAGACATTGCTTACTGAGAGAGCACAGCAGCCTCCCCTGACACTTCAGATGTCATCAAATCAGACTACAGCAAGTCTTGCTCAACACCACCCCTCTGACAAATGCAATTATACTTCTTCTTTTGGCAGAGTAAAAAAAAAAAGCGCGCATTGTGGAAGTAGTAGCCTCAAATTCTTACAGGTAATAAAATTTGATCCTAAGAGTCAGTGTTCAAAAGGTAGGGGGGAATAATGAAGAGAATAGTTTCTCTTGAGCCAACACTATCTCTAGCTCAGCAGAACCTTTTGTGTAGCTTTGTTCTGCTGCCATTTGTATCACTGCACAGAAGCTCTTGCCCTACACATCCTGCCCTGTCCAACAGGGTCAGCATTTATCATTGGGATCCCCTCTGTGCAAAGATGCAACATTGCTCTATAAATCAGGTCCTACGCAAGAGATAGTTTGAAAAGACATAAATTCTCCCGGCAGAGACCTCTCTCCAAAACCAATAACTGATAATATAGGACAAACAACTTCACAAAGGTAGAGTTTCACAGAAGTAAGGAGAAAGTGGCACCACAGGAGTCTTCTCAAACTCAATGATGATGATGATTGAGTCACGATGTTTTCAAATCCATAACCCAACCACAGACAATCACTTTTACATTAGTTAGAAATCAAGAAGAAAGAAACAGATCAATGCCATATTTTGCACAACTCAGTTTAGTCAGCAAAGCAACAATTAAAACCAACTTGGACCAATTCTGTTTATGTCTCCTCTTAACAAGACTTGAATAACAGCACAGTCTTGAAATTTTGGTTTGGGTAGCTATTCTTTAAACAAACGACCGCCTTCTTATACAACATGTCTAATAGCTACCTGAAGGTTTGTAGACTCTGCTCTGTAACACATGGGCTACTTCACCCAACTTAATTTTGTATTTAGTGCTTCTGATTAGTTCTCCACCTCAAGTAATAACTGTATGTCAACAAAGTGTAATGATCTTCACAATCTGTCACTTAGTAAACTGAACATTTTCCCAAAAGACCACGACACAGCCTATTTACATATCTGCATTTGAGGTTTCAACACCACTGTGGAAAAGAAAAATATGCCTTTGAGGATATTAAGGTCCAAACACCATTACAAGTCGTACGAGTCAGAACTTCTTTCAAGCAGTGAGGCTAAAACCGCAACTCAATCTTACACAAAGCTACTGTCCTCGGTCAGCCCCCCCTGTATTGCCTTCAGTGGCTCAGACAATGGAGCTCACATCCTGCAAAAGCTGGAATGCAGCAGGCTGAGCACCCAACAGATCAGTGGCCAATTCCTTTACATTTGTGTATCATGAAGGACTTTAGATTTTATGTCAAATCTCGTGCACTGGAAAGTGAGGGAGGAAGGAATGACAGAACTTGCCAAGACAGCAAGACGTTTCTTCCAGAGGCCTATGGATGGCTGCCTTCCTTCTCCAAACCCTTAGATAAACAAAAGCTAAGGGAGAGCTCTTTAACAGCAGACACAAAGTCACACTTCCTAGCTCTCTACTGTGCTTACCTTCAGCGTTCCAAGAATCAAAAAACCAGCAGGAAAAAGTTCCCTGCCCTTATGCCATGAAAGCCGTTTTTTTCACATATTTAGGGGAGTTTAATACAGCAGAGGTCTGCTGATGCCAAAAATACCACAATCTTGTTTTACACATAGATTTGGTGAGTGGCATGAGTTTTCTCCTCGCTTAGCAAGATTTCAATGCACCTGACGGAGCCAGGTAACTTCTTGGTCAGAGGAGCAAAAAACCACGCATGCACACAAGTAAAAGGTGCTTTGCATCTGTAACACAAACTGAGCCCAGAAGAGACATCTTAGCAGCTGTAGCATCAGTCCTTTCCATGCTCACCCTTGTGCCAATGGCAAGTTACAAGTTGGACCCCGAACTCCTCACCGCATCAGCCAACGTACCTATTCGTCCTAGTCTAACCAGGTTTCTGTATGCCAACCTATGGCAAATCGGAGCGAAATGTAACAAGCACAGCATTTGAACCATCTGCCATGACGATATCCATGGTAGGGGGCTCAGCTGTGAAGAACCCCACATCCTCTGCTTTTCCTGAAACGCTAAAACCAGCCGAGGGATGATCACAGAGAGAAGCCCCACGATGGGGAGAGGGAGACCAGGGCGAGATTTCAATAGGAATAAAACCGTCCCAGAGGGCCCCGGGCGATGGAGGCGTGCAGATGGCATTGCCACGGAGAAGGTTTCTAACTCCGGCCGCTGCACAGCGATGGGCACGTCCCCAGTTCTGCAGCGCGGGGAAAGGCACCAAGATGCAGAGCGGGAGAAAAACAAAACCGAGAAAGGCCAAGCCCGGCAGGACGTGGCAGTCCCAGCGCCCGAAGGCGGCCCTTACCGTAGACCAGCTTTTTCATCTCGTGGTACCTGGCCCACAAGTAGGTCTTGGTGTCGGCTCCCTCGGCCGGGAGGGGCTGGCAGCCCGCGGCGGG